GTCTAGTTCCTCCTCTCAACCCCAAATAATCCCAGATTCCTCCTGTTTACGAAGCACGTCGGATATCACTCAACCAAAATTCCCTTTCCAGTTAGCTGCTTCAATGTCCGCACATTCCATCAGATTGTTCAACAGACTGCCTTGGCTGGAACCCTTGGAACTTTCATTTTAGATATATGCTGTCTCCGAAACACGCATACTAAACCCTACTTCAATTATCCCCTGCGTTTTCCTAACCCAATCTCAAAATCACTCCTCATGTGTCAGACGATTCGGCTTCCGGCTTCCGTATCTCACAGTGCTGCTGGTGTCGGAATTGCGCTAAGTGCCAAAGCCGGGCGTTCGCCTTTTGACGGGATTCCAGTCAGCAGCCGATTGTGCGCTGTACGTCTCAACGGTTCGGCACAGGTCAACAGTTACAAAATGAATCCTCGGTGCCTGGTCTTCCTATCGGTATATGCATTGATCAATTGCAGTACATCTGAAATCAACGATGAGTTCTACAAGGACCCTTATCAATTAATCTAGTGTTCAATCAACAGACGTCGCAGTAGTCGCCGAAGTGGGATCCCTGGACGAATCAGAAAGGCCCCTTGGCCGACCAAAAGCAATCCCAGCCAACCGGACGAAAAACGGAAATCGTCAATTTCAACTATGCGTGGATCACGGATTGTTGCTATAAAGCACGAACTTCTCGCACAAGAAACAACACCGCCTTACATGGAAGCCAACAACCTCTTCACTGCGCTGGACCCAAATCAACTACATTGCCATCAGTTACCGACGGAGAGGGCCATGCAAGACTGCCGCTCTTACTGGTCAGCACTTGCAGATACAGACCATGTCTTGTTACGAGCCGAATTCTCCTCATGCCTGACAAACAACCGCAGAAGGCCACCGACAACGGATATCTACGATACAATCTCAGCGCTTGTTGCAAATCGGCCTTCGAATGGGAGCTCTCCGATCGTCTCAGTTCAACCACCAGCCGAAGGACTCAATGAGCACTGGAAGCAAATCAATCGATAAAAACAGCATCGGACCCTGGTGCAGGCTCAAAACATAAACGATGGATCTCGGCTGCCCTGCTGGACGCTCGCAGAACCCTTTCTCCCGATGACACAAAACGTGAACCCACTAAACTCCAGCTTCTCAGGAGTCTTAGGAATGACCACGAGAAGTGATGGTTAGAAAAGTGTAAAGAGATGGTGAAATCTGCGGCTATGGCAATCGCAATCTTTTCCGTCTAATTAGGAATACGGGCCCCGGGAAAATAGGCGTGAGGTAGCTGAGGAATCGGATTGCACACTAGTTCACGATTAGCAACGCCATCTTCATCAATGAGCTGAGCACTTCAAGGCACTTCAGTTCAACAGGCTCCTATCGACATCTGACCTATTGCCCCC